AGAACTAATCCTACTCAAAAAGGGAGTTACCAATTGTGCGCTAAACTGTCCTGCACATATTCCTCAAGTCTGATTTCTGGCTGAGGGTTAAACACCACTCCAAAAATAAAGCACTATTCGTGAATAAATAGACTAATTCACTAATGCTTTGGAAGCCCTTGGCAACCCGTCACTCACAGTAGATGGATGTGCTGCTGAACTGGAGAGAAGAGCGGGAGAATGGGTGGTCTCCAGTGTATTCCAGCACTCAAGGAAGCAGCAACTGGAAAATAAGCTTCTGTTCTTGAAAGCTCTCTACACTTTCTCTAGACACTAAGAGCTTTGCTTAAGGAAATTCCCCTAAACAGGCTGGGTTTATTTAGAAAGCTTGTCCCCCCCCCCCTGTCAAAATTAAATCAGAAACCAGAAGAGTCTGAGGTGGGGGTGTCAAAGGATGGAGTTTCAGGCATTCCCAGAAATTTATATAAAGAGATCAGTGAAGTGGCACATATTGCTAGTGCCTGGAAGTAGAAGTTCATTTTGCCATTACTACCTTCAAGATGGAAAGGAAGGAAACAAAGTTAAGAATTTAGATTAGAAGAAAGCCAAATTTCTCATCATGACATTGGATTTCACATACTGTACTGTATGCAATTTGTTACAGAACACATGACCACAGCTACGGTCTTAGATATTTGGAAGTAAAGAGAAAACGTTTAGTAAACTAGGATAAATCTCTCTGGTGTGCCAAGTCATATTTATAGAAAGTATTTTTTCCTAATCTTTAAAAAAAACTTTCTTAGGGCAGATTTATAGAAGTTAAATAACCATTTAAAAACAAATACCTAAGCAAAAAAAACCCTACAAACAAATATTAGAATAGTGAAAAATCAATTTTACAGCCTTTGGCAAAAGATTAGACACAAGGCAATCTTTTAATTCTCTGATCGCTATTGATTTATTTGGCTCTTTAACTTACCTAGGATGGCTGGGATATCTAGTGGAGAATCTTGTGAAATTATTTATGCACAGGTAAAGTACCATAATTGTGGTGGTCCAATGGTTAGAATGCAGTACTCACTGCTCACTCCATTCTGACCAGCTCAGGGTTGATTCAGCCTTCCATCTTTCCAAGGTTGGTAAAATGAGGACCCAGATTGTTGGGGGCAATAGGCTGACATTTGTAAACTGCTCAGAGAGTGCTATAAAGCACTATGCAGCATGTATAAGTCTAAGTGCTATTCCTATTGCTATCCTTAACAGAACCTCTTGGTCAGAAAAGCCTTCTCTTGCTGGAGAGGAGTAGTGAAGAGCACAGTTGGTTATCTGTTGCTGTCTTTGTGTCCTTTTAGGGATTTCTGAGAATCATCTGGTTGTCCGTTGTTAAAAATGTTGGTGATGTTGATCTAGAGCAGGGGTGTCCAATCTCGGCAATTTTAAGACGTGTGGACTTTAACTTCCAGAATTCCCCAGCCAGCATGGCTAACTGGAGAATTCTGGGAGTTGAAGTCCCCAAGTCTTAAAGTTGCCAAAGTTGGAGAGTTATTCAGGTGGATCCTTTCTTACATTCTATGAAAATCACTGGGCAATATAATATCCAGTTTAAAGCTGAAATAGTAATAGAATATTCATATCATAAAATACCTTTTTTCCTGAGGAAAGAACAGATTCAGTATTCTAGCAGAGTCAGTGAGACTCTTTTGCCTGGAACTTTCAATTCATTTCAAACTGATTTCAAAATTAGAAACGGTAATACAAATTTAAATAATACACATGAATCTAGAATTTTGGAAAGGCTACAGCTTCCTATCATGAAGCAAGATGAAACCAGAGCTAACTATTTGGAATAAAAATGGCATGACAACTTCAAAGAAAACCTTAACTCCACTTCAGACAATGAAGTAGATTGACTACAGATTCATGAAACTGAAAGCCACAGTGTTGCCTTACTCCACACATCCTTTCAAAAATCTATTTCAAAGATCTCAGGAAAGAAAATGTGGGACAGGAAGCATAATTAGTTAAATCTCTCAACTTCAGTTTTCTTCAATTTTTTTAGCAAACGTTTAGTCCTAACTTGCATTTTACAGAACCACATTACTATTTCCTCCAAGATTTGCAGAATTAAGTCAAATGGGAGCAGTAACATTTCTTTTTTTGATTTTCCATCTGTCTTTCCTCCTGGGCATAGGATATGCCAGTCAAGAAAGTCTTGCTTTGCTTTGGCTTTCTCAGAGCACAATCAAATAAATGTTCATAGGCAAATATGGTTCATATTATTTAAATGAATTATTCCATAATTGATGGGGTATATTTGTGTGTGAAGGGCACATCATCAACAAAGTTATAATTGCAGTGGTGAGAGAGATACGTGTTGAAAGAAAGCAACTAGATGGCTGTCAAATCAATCAAAAAAGAAAGGGGGAAAAACAAGATTGGAAAGACAAGCTACAACAAATACTTAAAAGAACTTCTCATCCACCTTTTCTTAATTTCATGGACCAAAGACAAAACAAAAGAGAGGAGGTTGTTTTTTTTTACAGAAAACCCACACCTTCTTCTCCAAATAGCAGTTCTCCAGGAAGTACCTATATGCAGTGATTACTGAAGGGCGCCATCCAATTATTTTCTCCAAGAAGAAGAAGCACATAAAATCAGTTCTCAGAGGAGCCCTAAAGAAATAGTTAGCACTTGGGATGAAATAGGATGGAGTACAGAGGAGAGAATGAGAGGAAAAAGAGGCATCAAATTCTCCTCTAGGCTTGGCACTTTTAGTTGGGAGAAAGACCTATTGAATCTAGGAGAGCTTAAGTCCATGTGGACAGAACTGACTAATTTCCTATTGGATATGCTTTTTCTGAAAATTTGGATTCGGTAAGAAAATGATTCAGATGAGCTAGATAGAACTGAATGGAGCATTGGATTTAAAATGAGGATTTGGAACAAAAACCCTATGCATATTAAATTCAAGTTGATTACTCCCAGGCATAGGTCTAACAACAGTGGCAAAGAAGAAAGTGGGAAGAGGAAATGAAAAGGGGTGGGCTTTTTTCCTCCAGTGTATGACATTCTGGACAGTGCCACAGGTGAGAGACTTTGCAAGTCAATTTGAATCTGAAAGACTTCCCTGTTTTAAAAACATATAAAGCTCAGTTTGAAGGAGGATGAAAAGAGAAAAAGAAGTTTTGGCTGTCATGTCTGATTGATGGACTTGTCTGTACTTTTGACAAAAGTGATTTGCCCCCAACAACAGATAAGCACCTAGTTTCTGCTAACAGAAACATTGGCCCCCTTTTGCTCTGCTAGCTGTTTATGTAGAATGAGGACAGTTAATGCTGCCTAGCCATCTCTTCTTCCCATTCTGACAACTGCCTTGCCTTTTCATCTATCTTTTCTGGGTAGAATGATTTCCAAGTCTGCTGAAACTGAAATCACTCAAAATTCAATTAATTTCATACATTGGTCCTCAAGCAGTTATGAAATTGCCCAATGAATTCCTCTTCAAATTAGTATGATGCACATTCAATGAGAAAACCAGAGTTAAATGGTCCTTGGTTTGTCTTTGAAAAAAAATAGAGAAATGACTTTACTCAAGCTTTTTATTTTTTACCAATTCTGATTTCTAATGAAAGAGGGTCAAGTTCTAGTCCAGAACCCAGAATTGCAGGTGTTCCTTTGCCTTATTAAATCTTTACAGAAAAAATGAAACAAAGTTGTGAAGCACCACATTTTCATCTCACTTTTAAGATTCATAATGATTTGGGGAAAATATTAAATTCCAAGAGTTGCTAAAAGTAAATTAGCTCCTTGCTTTGCCTACTTCCACCGTTTCAGTATGCAGACAGGAGGAAACAGCTGGATGAGTATTCGACATTTTATTTTGCTGTAAAATTTACACATTTACATTACAGCACTTCCCTGCCTGAACTCAAGCCTGCCAGATTTACAATAGCTTGGTCCAAATTCCACACCTAATTCATGTACAACTAACCTAACACACACACACAATTCGAAGAGTTTGTAAGTGACAGCATGATACATTTTTTTCCAATTACAATTATGTGTTTTACCAATTTTCTCACCACTGGGTCAATACTTCCAGTTTAGAGGAAACATTTCACACCTTGTCCCCAAACACCCTGACTGTCATAACACCATCCTACTATGCATTGTCTAAAAATAAAGACTCCTTCAAGCAGAGTTCAACTCTTGGTGACTATAAGGTCAGGTTCATGCAATTTTCTCACTTGCTCAGGAGAAAATTCAGCAGGATTTACTTGCCAGGGATCTGCATAAGATTTCCAGCTTCATTTATAGAGATGTCATCACGCATTACAATTAGGAAATTAAATGAAAATAAATTGCATGGGAACCTATACATGCTTTAAAGTTCTAAGTGCTTGGAATTGTGTTCCTAAGATGATGAAGCTGGCTCTACAGTATTCATTCTTCTGCAAACTCTTTCTCTGGCATCTGACCTCTGACAGGAGCATCGGTAGCCAAAACAGCCTTAAGTTCTAAATCTTGTTCCGGATTTAGCCTTGATTTCAACTGCTTGAAACACGATCCTAGATCCTACCTTACCCTTCCAAGCCAGTTCGGCTCACTTTACAGCAAACTTGCAAAACTTCCAAATAGATTGCAACAACTCATCCCCCTCACTAGCAAGAAATCGCACGTGGCCAGGCGTAAACTCTTAACACGTCCTGGTAGTTTTGATACCCCAGGGAGATGAACCCCCTGTCGCCACTTCCAAGAGCCCATCAGAGGGAAGCGAACAGACTGTAAGTTGCGATCACCACAAATAATCATTCCGTCTCCTGATAACAAAACAGCCCTCGCCTTCCTCCCCCACCAATCCAATTCTTCTTCCAAATGTTCTGCAACGTATTGTGTGTGTATACATATAATAGGATTCCGCTTAAGAAAAAGGCAATCCATTCTGAATCCTAAGCGCCCATCTTTCACCGCCTGGGCCGCGCGACCCACGCCAAGTCCCTTAAGTCGCTCAGGCCACTTACCTGGAGGATGTTGGGGTGCCGCAACCGCTGCAAAAGGACCATCTCCTTGATAATCTTATAAGAGGCCAGCCTGTAGCAGTCTTCCAGAGACCCATAGAGCTTGACGCAATTGTCGATGTCGTGTCCCCCAAAATCGACGGATTTCAAGGCCACGGCCAGGCTCTTGTTGAGCACCGCTTTGTAGACCGCTTTGGTGTAGCCGGAGCCCAGGTAATGCACCTCGGTCACGTTGCTAACGTCCCGGCATCCCAGCCGGAGCGGCCCGAGGGAGAGTTCTAGTTTGGATTCGGGGACCCAGGGCGCCCCGGAGGCGACGAGACCGGCCCAACTGGGCTGCGCCCCCCGCGGGCTGCGGTCGGTGGGCGAGGAGGGGAGCCTCGGCGGCGGCGCGAGGTCCATGAGCCGCCTCTCCAGAGGTCGCGCCGCCGGCCGAGACTTCGCAGCGGCTCCCGCCACTCCCGCTTCCCTGGGCTGCTGCCTGTGTTGGTAGCGCAGCACCTCTTCGTAGCGCTCTCGGATCTGCCGGGCTAAATCCCAGCGCCGGTGACGGCCGCCGCTTCTCCTTTCCGCCTCCCACGACCTGTCCCGAGGCGAGCCGGCCAGCGAGTGCGCGATGCCCGCATTTTGCTGCCGCTGCTGTTGCTGCTGGAGGGGATCAAAGGCCGGGATGAATAAGACGTTGAGCAAAGTGCCCAGCAAGAAGGACAGACAGAAGCCGGCTGCCACGGCCAGCTTTTGCCGCTTCATTGCCCTTGCAAGCTCCACCGCGAACCTCCCTGCCGGACTCCCGGGGTCTTCGCGATCAGCTTCGCCGCGATCTCACTTGCACCATTCCAGATGACCAAAAGACGGACGGGCGGGCGTACAGATGGGGTTGGGGTGGGGGGGAACCCCGACCAAACCCCCGTCTTCACTCAGCCCTGCTGCCTCGCCACTCCTCGCTGAGGCGAGCTGAAGCCCACATGACACTTGCCTCCAGCCTTGCCTTTATAAACCCGCCCTAAAAGTCTTATTATTAGATACACCGCAACGAGGAGGAAAAAAGGAGAGTTTTACATACCAAGAAAAAAAAAAAATAATCCAAGTGTGCTACATTCATTGTGACGCCAACTGATTGACGGCTCGGCCTCGCCAGTGGAACAGGGAAAACAGCCGAGAGGATCGCTGGGAAAGGAAGTCTTCTGCTCACAGGCGGCGGCCGGAACGCAACGGGACTGAGAACTACAACTCCCAGAAACCATCGCGGTGCTCCGGGCTCGAGAGGCGGCAGGAGCTTGATAACGGTGTCGCCTCCCAAAGACAGCAGTGAAAGGAGCGGGACGGTAGGAAAAGTAGCCCGCTTGGCGTGGGATCGAAGTGGCGTCGCGCACCGGGGAAGGCAGACCGTGGAAACGAAGCCTTTGGTTGGGCAAAAAAAAAAAAAGATAAGGAGCCTTTCAAGGGCATCTTTCTCTTGAGGTCCGAAGAGGACTTGACGTTTGCCCTCCACGCCTTTCACAGCCGCGCAGTCGTTTCTGTATTGATCCCGGGGAGAGGTGTGGGAAAGACGGTTGCATTTTGCGAGAAAGCGGGAGGGCAAGTGAAATTTAGGGGGCACTTCCCTGCCTCTTGACGATCGTTTCAGGATCTTCCAAAAGCCATATTCATCCGAGTGTTTATATCTATTTATGAATTTGTTTTGGTAAGTATTTATAGACCTGCATCCTATTTCACACGACCAGACAGTCCCGTTTTGACAGTCTTCGCAGCGTTACTTAGAGGTGTTCCGTTAGCCAGAAGCGGAAACCTTTTGGCGCCCGCGTTTAATTACTCAATTTTTAATAAGCCCACCTTTCAAAAATCTGTACCAACCACATACAGTAGAAATTAGGAGAGGCATGTTTGATTTCTTTTATTTATAAAACTCCCGGGTTTTTTTTTTTTTTTTTAAAAAGCATATCGGCAGTATATTTATTTAACTCGTAGTGCCCATCATGAACCTCAAGCACGTGTGCTCTAGTCGTACGTGTGAAATATGTCGCATAGTTGAGCCTATTTTTCTCCTTAAGGCTAAATGATCGAACTGTCCTCCCACGAAAAGTGATTTTTTTTTTTTTTTTGCAATAGTGGCGAAAGTGATTTTCCCCCCCTCCAAATGCCCTCCGAAATGAACAGCGAAGGGGAGCCAATCAGTCACTTGCATCGGTCATTCTACCGGCTGACAAACGGATCGATTTGGCCGGAAAAATCAGCTGCGAGTGTAATCCCTGAGACTAGGGATTTTAGTAAAATGAGAGCAACCTCAAGCGGTAAACACGGGTAGGGGAGGCTCCTCAATGGCTGTATTCACATCACAGGCTTAGCCAGATCGTTCATAGGCCAAGCAACTGCATTTGCATAATTTATGAAACTCGGTTAGTTATAACGGAGCGGGAGGGGGGGGGGGAGAGATAGAATCCTAGACCATTTTGTTAATCAGTGGTTTGAATAATATATGAAAACTCGGGAAGAAAAAGCTGTTGTCCTTCTGTATGTGGTTTTATTTTTGTTTGCCTCCCGGAGTTGATTGCAAGGGGGTGGGGGGGTTGTATTAAATTTGCATAATAAAATAATAAATGGATTCAGTCCTAACGTAGGTCAACGCTTCATGTGAAATGCAAAGAAATAAGTGCCATTGCCGGCCATTCGTGTATTAAGGCATAATAGAGGTAACTAACTTCGGTCTGGGATCATTTGGTAAAAGGGCGGAGGCCATAGTATTCGGATTAGTAAGATCACCACATGAACTGCAATAATAAATAGGGTTAGTTGTGGGAATCCTACCATTTTTGCTGAACTCTGGGGCACGATTTGGCCACCTCTCTTCAGATATGCTTTTCAGGACATTCCGTTCTGTTTGGCTTAAAGGGGCCCTAAATTTCTTTCCTGAAATCTTAACGTTTAAGATTTTTGACTCCACTCAAGGTATAAATATAAGAACGAATTGATATTTTAAAGCCACGTAATGAAGGGCATTTCCCTCCTCTTCGCCCTCCCTCCCCTTCAAATAACTGCAGAAAATCAAGAGGTGTGGGGGTGGAAAGTAAGCTTTCCTTCTGACATGATATTTAAATCAATGGGCTTCTCTATTTCTCCACCAGAGCATAACCGAACGGGGCAGGACCGGATAAAAATCAGCTTTTAAATGCACACGCAAGCCCATTAAAGGGGGTTGATTAATCGCAGCGGTTCGCTGATTACCCGGCCAAAGGTGCTTGAAGCACGTACGTACAAATATTGCTCAAGGTGGATTGCGAAGTTTGTGGGGCGGAGAGAAATAAAGCTTTATTTGAGCGCCTTTATCTCCTGGGAAGGTTATGTGAGAAATTTACAGCTGAGTTTTCCACCTATAATCTGACGTCGCCCGAGGCCAAAGGGTTTTAACTCTCATGGAAGCGGGGGGGGGGGGGGAAAGATGTGTAATATAGGAATATGTCGCAATTCCTTGGATGGCGTGGTAAATTTAACGGATCGATGAAGGCTTCAAGGAATCTCTCTCTGTGCTGGCTTGCCTCCGCCCGGGGTTGTGTGGCTGTGCGAGTCTTCAACGCTCATCTTTTCTGGCCTGCTGGCTGGGGATGATGAGCCTTGTAGTACCACACATCCACACACCTCAAAGGCATCTTTCGGCTGGGCAGAGCAATTTCACCATCGAGTTGGGGGCGGATCTAGAAACGGGGGGGGGAGGAAGTTTCTGGGGGACTTTTAAAGGTAAAAAAGAGAGAGACAAAGAAATTAGGAGAGCTGCTTCTCCCTCTCCGGTCCACAGACCTGGACACAATGCGGATTTTTTAAAAAAAAAGAAAAGAAAAAAAAGAAAAATCCACACAACTCCTCTTCTCCCCTGAGTTTGCCCTACCCCTCATTAAAGCCCTCAGCCGGGAGCTCTGTGTTGTGGCTACCGCGGGAGGAATGAAAGGTCCCCGCCGAGATCCGTGGGGGGTTAAACCTCTGCGCTCCCCCTGCATCTCCCGGGCTCGGCGTGAGGTCGCCGCAGCTCTGCTGGAGACTGGCCGAGGCCGAGTGCTAATGGTGTGCTTATCTACCCGGGCCGACGCTCTTAGCAACTAATTAACAAATGAAATTAGTCCCAGAAAGGACATAAAGGGAGAGGGGGTGGGGAGAGAGAGAGAGAGAGAGAGAGAGAGATCCAGTTGAAATTGCTTGGATTGAGAAAGTTGTAGCTGGAGAGCGCCATTTGGGTCTCCGGCACAAAGCAAGCAAGTCACTGCAATTAATGCCCCGTTTGGATTGTGCTCTCTGAGGTTGCAGACGTTTCATTACCCAAACTAGGTAACATCATCAGTGCTAGTCACTAAGGGTAATGAAACGCCTGCAAGAAAACAAGCTCAAGAGAGCACCGAGGACCCCCACATTTCGATCCTGAGCTATAAATATTCTCCTTCATTGGAAGAGTAAAAGGGCGGACAAGCAGGCGCAGAATAATATCTTGATAAAAGTAGGCGCAGAATAATATCTTGATAAAAGTGGCTCTGGATCTGGCGATTTTCCTTGTCAGAGCCCTCCCATGCCGGTACTAATTGTAAAAGCACAAGCTGTCACAAGTATCCATAATGCCGAACCTGTTCCTTCTGCAAAAGAAACACTAGTGCCTGAGAAAAGACAACAGGCCATTTTATTTCGTTGTGATATTTTTTAGCCCAATCTGCTTTAGCCCAATCTGCTTTAATAATGTGTCCATGATGCTTACAACCCCCAGGGTACTTTTGTAACAGCTCTTGACTAAATTGGGCTGAAAAATAATGAAATGCATGTTTCCCCTTCACCTTGCTATTCATTCTTTCTTTCATCCTCCAACGAGACAAAATACATACATACATACATACATACATACATACATACATACATACATACTGCTTGAAATATCTACCTGTTCTAAAAAGCAACCTTTTCATGTGTTGCACTGCCACTCCATAGCTTATCAATAGGACTATGGGAGACATAATCTCCTGAGTTAGTGTTTCTCCACCTCAGCAACTTTAATTTTTGTGATTTCAATTCCTAGAACTCCCCAGCCTAACCCTCATACTCTCTTTGGCCTTCTGAAAAGAGTGCCACACTTGCTTATATAGATAATAATGATGACGATGGTTATAGTGGAATAAGATGGAACCCTAAACCAGCCAAGAATTTTTCTCTTTGACCAGTCATAAAGATCTACAGTGAAAAAACTAGGCAATAGAAACAGTTGCACAAATGGCTAAGCCAAAGCATTGGAAAAGAGATAATCCTCAAGAGTACCCAAGAAAGATTGTTGAATGTTTCCTTGCATAAATACAAAAGTTAATAAGACAGACTTCTCACCATGTATATGTATACATCTGAACTAGACTGTGTTGTTTCTCTGGGTCATATGTGTGTGTGTGGGGGTATATGCATAATTATTTTTATTTTATTTTTATTTATTTGTCATGTTTATGCAGTGTATATTGGAGGTGGTTACACTTTGAGAGCTGTATGCAATGAAATCTTATTTTAATGTATGCTGATTAATGTACATTTAAAGTGGCAATAAAGTTATTCTATTTTATTCTATTCTATTCTATTTAAATGGATGAATGATTTAGAAGGATTTAAAACATTTAACCTAATTCTATCTGGGATTTTAGTTTGCAACTAAGTCTGTTAATGGTGAATATGAGTGGAAACCATTAAAACTAGCATGCCTATCTCTTTCTTTGTATACCTTATAACAGGAGTCCTGTTCA